GTAGGTAGTAGGTAGTAGTAGTAGGTTAGTAGGTAGGAGGTAGTTAGTAGTAGTAGTAGTAGTAGTATAGGTCCAGTAGTATAGTAGTAGTAGTAGTAGTAGTAGCTAGTAGTAGTCAGTAGTAGTTAGTCTAGTAGTAGTAGTAGTGTTAGTAGTAGTAGCAGTAGCAGTAGCAGTAGCAGTAGCAGTATTAGTAGTAGTAGTAGGAGTTAGTAGTCGTGTAGTTGTTTTAGTCGTTAGTAGTAGTAGTTTAGTAATAACACAATAGTAGTAGTAATACAATTCGCCGGCCCAACGGGCCAGGGCGTGCTAAGATCTCAGGTACCTGGTTAACAGTATTTCTAGTTCGCGCGCGCGGGGCGGCCCCTGGGGGTCCCCGGACGAAAAATACCCCGGCAAGGTCCCGGCAAGTCCCCGGCAAGGTCGGGTCAGAGATGCCGGAGTTCTGTTTCGGAGTCCAAGAGGGCTCCAGATCGGTCCAAGAGGGCCCCGAGAAGCTTTCTAGACGGTCCAAGAGAGGCCCGAGACGGCCAAAGATCGCCCGAAGACGCCCCAGATGGCCCCAAGACAGCCCAAGAGGCCTCCAAGACGCTCCAAGGGCCTTCCAAGAGGCCTCCGAAGAGGGCCCCAAGTTGCCAAAATCGTTGATTTTCGTTGGTTTTTTCGATGTTGTTTTGCGTTCTGGCCTTTTCGCTTCCGGACGCTCCAAGAGGGCCCAAGAGGCCTTCAAGACTGCTCCAAGACGGCCCACGAGGCTCCCAAGACGGCCCCGGAGCGGCCCAAGAGCGCCCCCCAGACGGCCCAAGTGCTGCCCAAGGCGGACCAAGAGGCCCCAAGACGGGCCCAAGAGGGGCTCAAGAAGGGAACCGAGAACTGAAAAATCGAGCCCTCCGCCCCAGAAGGCGCCCAGGACCCCGAAAGAGGCCCCAAGAGACTCTCCAAGACACCCCCAAGACGCCCCAATAAGCTCCCGTGAGGCCCCAAGAGGACCAACAACGTCAGGCCCCAGGCCCCAAGAGGACCAACAAATACCGCCAAGAGCCCGCCGAAAGCCCCCCAAGAGACCGTCACGAGAGCTCAGGAGGCCCCCTGGAGGCCTCCCGAGTTCTCCAAGAGGCCTAAAAAGAGACGCCAAGAGGCCCCAAACGGCCCCACCGAGGCTCCAAAAGGCCACGAACGCGCAAGCAAACGCCTGCGATGGCACAATACGGGCCGGCGGAATGAGCGAAGCGATTAAATATTCGCAATGGTAGTAGTAGTAGTAGTAGTAGGTAGTAGTAGTAGTAGTAGTAGTAGTAGTAGTAGTAGTAGTAGTAGTAGTAGTAGTAGTAGTAGTAGTAGTAGTAGTAGTAGTAGTTAGTAGTAGTAGTAGTAGTAGTAGTAGTAGTAGTAGTAGTAGTAGTAGAGTAGTAGTAGTAGTAGTAGTAGTAGTAGTAGTAGTAGTAGTAGTAGTAGTAGTAGTAGTAGTAGTGTAGTAGTTAGTAGTAGTAGTAGTAGTAGTAGTAGTAGTAGTAGTAGTAGTAGTAGTAGTAGTAGTAGTAGTAGTAGTAGTAGTAGTTAGTAGTAGTAGTAGTAGTATAGTAGTAGTAGTAGTACTAGTAGTTCTAGTTTCTATCGTACTAGTACTAGTACTACTATACTAGTACTAGTACTAGTACTAGTTTACTAGTACCAGTACTAGTACTAGTACTAGTACTAGTACTAGTACTAGTACTAGTACTAGTACTAGTACTAGTAGTAGTAGTAGTAGTAGTAGTAGTAGTAGTAGTAGTAGTAGTAGTAGTAGTAGTAGAAGTAGTAGTAGTAGTAGTAATATTAATAATGATAACAATAGCGGTAGTAGTAGTAATAGTAGTAGTCGCAGTGATAGGGATTCCGAAGGATTCCTCACGGGTCTCTAAGGATACCTTTGGATGTTCCACCATTGCTATAAAGATTCCTATGGATTCCCCCAGATCCCTGGGGATTCTTGGGGGCCCCATGAGGACGCCTAAAGATTTCCAGAGAAGCTCTGGGATTCCCAAGGATTCCTTGGGATTCCGATGGGTCCTAAGGACCCCCAGACAGTCTCAGAATGTCGCAACATGTTGCAGAATCGATCAGGATCTCTCAGGATCTCTCAGAATGTTTCAGAATCTTTCAGAGGCCCCCAGATGCCCGAAGGATTCCCCTGGAGCGGGTGGGATCTCACCCGCCCAAGATGCGCTCGGCGGCTGTGACCATTCCGCCGGCACCTCGCCCGGCCCGCTCTGATCTGACACTTCTTCGTTTAGGGTTCACCTGCCGAACAAAAAAAACAGCAACATAAACAAAGGGGAAGAACACGCAGACACACGCACACACACACACACAAAACAAAAACAAAAACAACGGGGGGGGGGGGGGGGGGGAAAAAAAAAAAAAAAAAAAAAAAAAAAAAAAAAAAAAAAAAAAAACTACGCGCGCCCCCGCGCGCGCGCTGCACTGCACGACCCCCACCCACCACCCCCCATCACGCGCGCAGCCGCGACGCCCAATTCCGTCTCGGTCGGCGTCGTCGCGCTCTAACTCCGAAGCAGGCCCTGGTCGCAGGTCGCCACGGTCAGGAGCGGCGCCGTCGCCACCCCCCAACTCCGCGGCAATCCCCGACAGCTCGTCGCCATCGTCAGGGGCGGTGGTGCTCTCGCCACCAGGGCCGAAATCGTAGAAATCACACGGGCATTCCTCGCCCACCCCCTCGTTTCCGTCGCACGCGGCGCTGTCGTTGGAGCAGTTATCTGCGAGATCTGCATCGCCCCCCCCATAATAACTGCACCAGACCAGAGATCAGCTTCCGCTCGCGCACCCGCCAGGGGCATCAAGGGCCCACGCACGTCCGCCGGCGACAGCGGCATGAAATCCCCCGTCTGCAGCGCGCGCCGCAGGCAGCCCGCGCACGCGCGGCACCGGGGCAGCGCGAAGGCGCGCAGGAGACCAGAAGCGCACAACCAACAAATAAACAAGCGTCGAAACATCGCACCGAAACGCGTCGAGACGAAACGAAGACAGATCAAATTGAATCGTCGGTCGTGGATACTATGGTCGGGCAATCAAACACATGAGTCATGACCATAATCTGCACGCGGACAGGATGGCTCGCGCCCGGCAACACGCCGAAGCCCAGCGCGCGATCGCGCGCAGGGCAGCTCACCACCCCGCACGCGCGCACACCCAACGAACGACGCCCCTTTGAGCCGGGCAGCGACCAAACAACAATGATAGCGGCGCTGGCGCGACCCCCTGGCCCACGAGCGGCGGCAGAGCTAGCACATCGTGAGAATAACATAAGGGGAGGACGAGGGATGAGGGCCAGGAGAGGGGGCAGCAGCAAGGAGCAACACGGCACGAAGGAGGAAAGGGAGACAGACGACCAAAAGACGGAGGGCGGAGATTACGACGGGGGGAGAGAGATGTCCAGCACTACATCGAGAATCGGCACTGCTCTGCCCGACTACCCAACCTGGCCATCATTCCCCCGTCTCGCTCCCGCTATTGGCCCCTCCTCCGTTCTGTCCTTCCCCCCACGCCAAATCCCCCACCCTCCCGCCCCCCGGTTTCGCTCTGCGCGGTGAAGGAAGGGGGCAGAGAAGCAATTCACGACAATGATCAGCGCGATGGGAACGCGATGGCGGCGACGACGGCAGCGACGACGGCTCGCGCGCAACAGGCAGCGCTCTCTTATACAATAGCGTTGAAGGCCGAAGCACGCCACTGCGCGGCACGAGTGGGCGCCCGTGCTCACTGAGTCCTCATTGGCGGGGCTAACTGGCTGTAATCCGCGCGAAAAGGCCCGCGCGGCGCGACTGGCGCACCGCCACTTCCACTGGCGCCTTTCCCCTCCACAGCCCGCTCCGACACAGCCGACGAAGAAGAAGCGTCTGCGTGGATATGCGGCGCCGAACGGACGGCGCGGCGAAGTCCGCGGCGAACCCGCCACGCCCCACACTGGCGCCTGCTGCTGCCACTGGGCGCATTTGCACTCGAGGCATCGGGTCCTCCGACGCCAACGTGAGCGGAGCCAAATTTCCGAACGCGGCATCGGGACTTGGCGCACGCGCTGCTCGTTAGCCTCGCGGATGCAAATTGAGGACTGAATGTGAGAGCGACGCTTCGCGAAAACATCGTCAATCATGTTCTGCTCGTGCGCGTTGAGGGCAGCATGTGGACTCGCTTCCTGGGTTGTTTGAGAAATTGCTTCTTTGTGGGTTGCAGCCAACCGCTTGTGGCGTCGCCCTCAGTGAAACGGAACGCGGGTGCATTTTCATCCGGGCTGGCCAGCCTGAGGCACACGCCGAACATGCCGGCGACGGCAACGGTTGACCTTTTCAAAATGGCCACGACGTGGGCATCGGATGCAAACCCAAACGCAGCGCGCACCATATTGTAAAACACGTCAAGGTGCATGAATGGACCGCCGCCTGCTCCTGACTTGTCCTCCTCATGAGCGGCGTTTTCTGCGATGCCCTGTTTTCGGTTACGGCGAAAGTCACAATCATTGCAACGTACGCATGCCGTGGCTTGATAACTGAGATATCCATGCTCTGCACGTCAGCGTCGTCGCGAAAGCACGCCTCTTCCTGTCCAAACTCGGGGCGGCGGATTGAATCGAAACGCTTGCCACGGCGCCTCGCGGGCCCCCCATGTAGCGCCACAGGTGCGGACACTGCACCGCCCAGAGGCCATGGACCGGGCGGTGAACGTCGGCGCCCCTCACACACTTGGCCATCCCAGGAAGAAACTCCATGGGCAACGGGACGATCAGAAGGCTTGAGGTCGCTCATGAGCCTCGGGTTAAAACTACTGCGTTTCTGCCCCCACCAGCGCCCGCGCCCCGTTTGCGACGACACGAACCTTACTATGATGTGGCCATCCCATGATCGGCGCGCAGCACCCTTCGCAGATGTTATTCGAGATCCGCATCACCTTTACGTTCTGGCCGTCGTCTGCCGGGGCGTACTTATCGATATAGGCAACGCCAGATGTCAACTCGTCAGGAAGCGCTTCCACGAACTGTCATCTCCGCGGCCGCCGGCTTGCTTCGAACGCGGTTTCAAAGAGGCCCGCGCCACGAGGGTGCCCGTGATGCGGCCCATGATACGGCGCAAGGGTTTCTTGACCTTCCACGGGCCTGGGCGGCGCACGCACGCCTTCCCCTCGCCCGCGCACGCGGAACGAGTATCGGACACAGGCGCCAGCGACTCGGGAAAAAATGTTTTGACGATGGCCATGGCGCCGATGGCCCTGTGTTGCGCCAGGAAATTAACCTTGAGTTCTCCAGCAGGGGCGACTCGAGGGCAATATCCCTGCGCAGAGAGAGGGTGTTAATAACTGCGTAGAGACAATAAAACAGAAAACCAATTAGGAGAAGGACAACCTGCGGCAAGCTGGCGTGATCCTTCGATTGGATGGCTTTGACGATGTCGTCCCAATCCTGTTTGGAAATGTCTTCTTGGCCATCGAAAAACGCCCAACCCGCGCGGGCGCCGTCCATTGGGCGGAGCGCAGCGGCCATGAAGACGGCCAGGTCGATCTGGCCTTTGTGCACGTCCCCGACCGCGGGCTCGTGCTCGCTCACATTATATTTGAAGTCCGCAGCGGCCCCTGCCATCTCGTCGGAAAGGGTCGCCATTGCTTGGGGCCACGACGTCGAAGGGCACTGCGGCGGCGATTGCGGAGGCGACGACAGTGCTGCGAGCCTCTGCACTTGAACAAATACTACGGAAGTTTCACCAACACACGTATTGCAACACATGCGTGGCTTACCAAGGCCCACGCCAGAGGTAGCTCCGCATAGGCGAAGATGAAATGCGGTGCCCAACTGGGGCGGACAACTGCACGGATGCAGCGTGACATGCCCTCACAGTCCTCTTCCGTCTCCTCTTCCTCGCCGTACCGTTCTTCCTCCTTCTCGTTCTCGTCGTCCTCTTCACCCTCCTAGACAGGGTTGCGCCCTCTCGTTTCCAGAACTGCATACATGCAACAACAGTCATGTACAATCACCGGCTTACGATCACATGCGGTGATCACTGAGAGATGTATCATATAAAGGGTTGAGCGGCAAGCATGAACCAAGTTGTCGGGAAAAGAGACAGGTCTTCTCCTCCTCATCCTCCTCATCCTCCTCCTCCTCCTCCTCCTCCTCCTCCTCCTCCACGCTCGTTATCTTCATCGCTCTCTTCTTCACTCGTCCTCCCTCAGCGAAGAGAATCGGGCTGCTGACCTGCCGCGGCGGGCAGGGACGCTGATTGCGCGCGACAGCGCGCCTGTGCAGACCGCCTGATTTCAACAAAGAACTACCTTGGAGTCTGGAGCTTCTGTTTGAAGAGTGACGATTGAAGATTGAAGATCCATGCGAACTTTTTGCGAGAATTCCTCACACAGAAGATTGCAGGCGAAAGCGCACCTGGACAGGCAATATGATGTTTCGTTGTTTATCGTTGAACGTCAATTTCAAGATTGAAGATTGAAGATCCAGGGGCACTTACTGCAAGAGTTCTTCAAACAGACTGCTCACCGCCTGCTTGAATAGTTCTCGCGATAAGTCCGCTGGAACCTTGCGCGAAGGATGTACAAGGGTGTACAAGGATCCTATGATTTGCTACCGAACGCCCCCACCACGATCCTTCAACTGCAGAATCGGCCGCTTCCGAAACGTCAGATCGTTGAACAGCGAACGAGCATGGGTCGCTGGCGACGTTCGACGAGGAACTCCTCGCCCTCCGCCCTGACTCACCCCTGGGCAGACGCCTGGATTCTCGCTCGCAGGCAGCGACTGGGCCCTCTGATGCCGCTCCGCCGCCGCCGCCGGCTGGGCGCCAGGGTCCCTGCTGCCCGCCGCTCCGCCTGGGGGAGGGGCGGGGGGCAGGAAGGATCCCCCTCGGCAGGATCGGATCGGATCGGCTGTCCGCGAGAGAGGGGCGCTGCCAGGCGAGCGCTCCGCCGCATGGAGCCGAGCGGTCGAGGGCCCCCCGGCAGGAGAGGGCGGGAGGCAGGGGGGGGAGGGGAGGGGGGAGGAGCAGCGGCAGCCGGAGCAGGGGGACGGAGGTGCGGGAGCGTTTCTGACCCCTCTCGGGCCTCCAGGGACTTCCCAGGCTTGGGGGCGGGGCAGAAGCGACTCCCGCGGCAGGACAGAGGAGGGGAGGGGGCATGAGGGGAGAGAGGCCAAAAGGGGGGACTGGATCAGTGGGGGAACATCGACCTGGAATCTGCGACATATCGCCGATAGGTCGGCGGCATGGCCCCGACAGCAGAACAGCATTCCCCGATCGGCACGAATAGGGGTCGATGGATCCTACCGGGCCAGGGGATGAGACAGAAAAGGGAGGGGCAGATAAGCTTGCCCATCCGGCTCCGAGGTGGGGGCTTATGGGTAGTGCTCGCAGCCCCATCCTCTCACACTGCTCCTCTGGCCCGCGTTCCTGCCCATATTCGAGCTCGGTTAGGCCAGGGGCAGTGCAGTGCTTGCCTGGCGCGCCCTCTGACGATACAGGCCCAGCCGACAGGTTGCCGAAGAAGAGTGGCGATGGATGCGGTCAGAAAGCAACTCATGGAAGCGTTTGATCGTCCCCATGGCGCCTAATGGCGCGCCCTATCGCGCGCAAAGCGGACAGAAGGCATCTACCTCACATGGTCGCTATTGGGCGCTATTTGAGCGCTATTCGGCGCTGCTGGGCGCTATTCGGCGCTACTTGCCGCTACTGAACGATGCTGGGTGCTATTGAACACAAATCGCCGATCTACATTGAATACAAGACGAGCGGAAGCTTCCGTGATTTACTCCGCCACCGTGCCCCACTCTCGAGGCGCTTCTCCTCGTCCATCGGCCCCCCCTCTCGCTCCCTGGGCGCCCCGACGTCTCCCTGGCGCTCTCCAAGGCATCCAGGGTGCCCAAAATGGTTTCCAAGATGGTACCGAGGCCACCAGAGATGGCCCGAGATGCCGCCAAAACGGTCCAAGATGGCCCCAAGACGGCCTGATATGGCCTCAAGACGGCGAGAGAGGTTCGTAACACGGCCCCAGAGGGCTCAAGAGGCGAGCCTAAACAGGTCAAAATCAATGTTGTACCTCAGATGGTTGAAAGGCTGTCTATTTCTCACAATTCTGGGGCGGCTACGTCGGGCCTGAGACAGCCCCAAGACGGCCCAAGAGACCCCAAGACGAACCTTCAGGGCCCCGAGGGGGCCCCAAGAAGGCCAAGAGAGGCCCCCAAGATGGACACCGAAGGCGTCAGACTGCCCAAGAGTGCCCAAAGACGGCCCAGGGAGTTCCGAAGAGGACCCCAAGACGACCCCGTTAAGCCTCCAAGACGCCAAAAGAGGAGAAGAAAAAAGAGGAAGCGAGGAAGACGGCAACGAACACGAGAAGAGAAACCACGATGTGAGGGGACGTGCCGCAGGCAGCTGGACATGACAAATGCAACCGCCACCATGCCTTGAGCACGCAGTGGAATGCCCGACGGAACAGTTACGAGCGGTAGACAAATCCTATCTTCTCCAAAACATGGACCTGCGATCTCACGGAATTTCCGGGCATTTCCTGGGGAAGGTACATGTGCATGTCGGGGCCCCAAATGCGAGGCGGGGAGTTATCCATATCGACCGCCTGGAAACCGACGTCCTGATGCCCCAGCGGGCGGTGGATATGGACATGTTTCGGCACCTGAGGGCCCGAACATGTGCATATCCACTGCCTGCCGAGGCTCCGAAAACAGACCCTCCAGGCGGTGGTCATGCATAAATTCCCGCCTCGGACCAAAGTATTTCGGCAGTCGGGGCCTCAGGGGGTGCGCCAAGCCAGGTGGCCAGGAAGAGCCCCCCTTGGGAGGCCCTGCCGAACCCCCAAAGGCCAGCCCGGAGAGCCGCAGAGGCCTCCGCAGGCACGGTGGCGGGGCAAGGTGGCGGCAGGGGCCGCACATCACCGACTAGGTGATAAACAGACTGCGACACGGGCGCGGAGGCCCCCAAGAAGCCCCCAAAACGGGCCCCAAGACGCCCCGAAACTGCCTCCAAAAGGCTCCGCCAGGACCACAAACAGCTCCCAAGACGCCCCCAGGAGTCCCCAGACAGTGCCCAAGAAGCCCACGACGCCTCAATCATGGACTCCCCGCCTCTTGAATGAGCAGACTGCGACACGTCAACTCCGACGTCGTCTTTGGACTCCATCCAAAATCAATGTTGGACGCTCCTGGGCTTCACGTCGGCCCCAAAACAAAACCCAAACCGGCCCCAAACCAGCCCGATGCTCAATGGCATTCCGACGAAGTTACGGCCCAACGCGGACGTGCTGTCGCTTCGGCCGTTCAACGCCCACCTGTGCCGCATGGGTCCCTGCTTGGCTCCTTTTAGGCAGCGTTCGGGCCGTTCCATTGGTTGATCTTGGGCAGTGTTCGGACTACTTCCGGCCTCCTGGTGTGGATAGTAAGCAAGGCCCCAGAGAGCCAACCTCAATATCACTAGCCCGTCGGTACTGATGACGGGACGACGACCAAACGGCACTATCGATCGGCCACGCGGCATGCCTGAGCCCAACAGGTCATGGGCTGGGAACAACAATAGAGCGCAGGCAAAAACAACAGAACACACCTGCGGGGGGTCTTACATGATTTTCTGCTCATGTTCATCCCGTAGTGGAGCCGTCTTCGCCTCGTCCAGCGAGAACTGGAGTGGGCGGGCGGTGAACGCGAAGCGTTTTGAGTAAGTAGACTTAAAGGGGCCCTGGGACGCACAAATAATTACCCTGTGACGTACTCAACCCTTTCTGTACACGTGGCGAATATAGTCAGGACCACTCAATGCTGACTGGCATTCTGAAGGACCCGCAGTGCGCAAGAAGAGCACCCAACAGTGAGTCCCACCAGCCCTTTGGGCGTGAGTGGTTTAGAGAGCTCTCTCTCTGTCCTCAACCCCCCAACCCCCTTCTTCCCCTTCGGGGAGGGGTTTACCCCTCCCCCTACCCCCTCCCCCTGGGCCTGGAGAGGGCGTCCGGATGGTCGTTGGAGGGGTCTTTTCCGACTCCTGGGAGGGCCAAAAAACGACGACCCTCACGAGGATTCTGGCCCCGTCGGGGGGACCCAGAAAAAATGCTCTCCTCTTCTCTGAAGCCAAAATCCTTGATTTTACCACGGTTTTGGCCCCATTTTGGCCGTCTGAGGGGCCAGCGCTGCTGCTCCTTGTTCTCAAAATTATTGATTTTACTAAGGTTTTGGGCTCATTTTGTCCTTCTGAGGGGGTAGCGCTCATTTGCGCTTCTCAGGAGGTCGCAAGAAGCCCCCAAGAGGCCCCAAGATGCCCCCAGGAGGCTCCCAAGAGGCCTCCAAGAGGCTCCCCAGCCGCCCCCAAGAGGCCTCCAGAGGCTCCCAAGAGGCACCCCAGAGGCGTCCACGAGGCCCCCAGAGCCCCCAAGAGGCTCCCAAGAGGCCCCCAAGAGTCTCCCAAGAGGCGCCCAAGAGGCCCCAAGAGGCCCCCAAGAGGCTCCCAAGAGGCCCCACCAGGAGCCCGAACGACTCACACCAGGACGAGGGGCCCGAACGACTCACACCACGAAGAGCCCGAACGACTCACACCACAACGAGGGGCCCGAACGACTCATACCAGGACGAGGCGCCCGACCGACTCACACCACGAAGAGCCCGAACGACTCACACCAGGAAGAAGGGCCCGAACGACTCACACCAGGACGAGAAACCCCAAACGACTCAAACTCACGAGGAGCGCTTTCTCTCCCTCCTCCTCCGCCTCGTCCTTCTCCCGCTCCCCCCACAAGGAGGATGTACAAGGAGGCGGGAGGAAGGAGGAACAGGGGAGATATGCGGGGCCAAGCGGACACACGCCTGAAAAACACGACTGTCGGCATGCTTCGCGAGAGTTGCTGCTGTGAGATGGGCTAGTGGGGATACGCGAAGCGTAAAGAATTCAGAAGAGCGCAGCAAGAAGATAAACGGCGACTAAACAAGAAGGAAACACAGGGGCGTTGAAACAAACGCGTATGACGTACATCCGAATGATCCACGTGGGACGTACCTCCGCTGGGCCTCCCAGGAGCCCACGAAAGTGGCGACAATTGCGCAGATCGCAAGCGCCCCAGGGGTCGGCGAGGTCCCGAGGTGATTCGCGTGGGACCCACCTCCGCTGGGCCTCCCAGGAGCCCACGAAAGTGGCAACAGTTGCGCAGATCGCAAGCCCCCAATGGGGCGGCGAGGTCCCGAGGTGATTCGCGTGGGACCCACCTCCGCTGGACATCCCAGGAGCCGACGAAAGTGGCAACAGTTGCACAGATCGCAAGCCCCCCAAAGGGGGCGGCGAGGTCCCGAGGTGATCAGCGTGGGACCCACCTCCGCTGGGCCTCCCAGGAGCCCACGAAAGTGGCGGCAATTGCGCAGATCGCAAGCCCCCCAGGGGGCGGCGAGGTCCCGAGGTGATCCGCGTGGCGACAATTGCGCAGATCGCAAGCCCCCCAGGGGGCGGCGAGGTCCCGAGGTGATCCGCGCGGGACCCACCCCCGCTGGGCCTCCCAGGAGCCCACGAAAGTGGCGAAAGTTGCGCAGATCACAAGCCCCCCATGGGGCGGCGAGGTCCCGAGGTGATCCGCGTGGGACCCACCTCCGCTGGGCCTCCCAGGAGCCCATGAAAGTGGCGGCAATTGCGCAGATCGCAGACGGCACGAGAGAAGAGGAGAAGGGAACAGAGGAGACAGGAGAGAAGGAGGAGGGGAGGAGAGGGGGGAGGAGAGGGGGGAGGAGAAGGAAGGACGGGGCGACCACACTGCTCTATGCAAAACGAATACCCAACACAGGAGAGTTGGGAGATAGACACAAATACCAGGATTCCCCACATCTTCCCATATGTTATGGGTTTTCGTATTCCCCCCCACTTCCCATATGTTCCGACATTTTCCTGGGAGTCGACGATTCATTGTGTCTGTGTGTTTTTTCCCCTCCTGAAGACTGCACGGGTGTTGACAGAAGTGGTGCGCCGTCCCTCGCTTGCCGAGGGGGGAGAAGGAGCGTGAAATGATTGGCTGTCCGCTTCCCCCATTTTTCCTTCTCCAGGAGCCCAAAAGGCTTTTTCAGGAGTGGGGCGCTGAGCTCATCAAGGCACTTTTGAACACTGGATGGCGTCGAGATGACCCCAGAGCCGGAAAAGGCCTCCGAGATGGCACAAGGCTCCCTAGGATGGCTTAGTAGTGTATCCAGCATGCGTCCCAGTGGCCTCAGAGCCTCCCAAGGATACCCTCGAGAGGCCCAGATCCTTCAAAAACATGTGCTTTCAATGACGCGGGCCTTCTTGCACTTTCGCTTCGCATGAAATTCGGAGGCCCCAACTTTGGGTGACCCAAAAGGGGGTCCAGCTGAAAAGTGGTAAAATAATAGATTTGGGCCAATTGTATTGCAAATGCATTGCGCCAGAGAATGATGTTGCGTTGTATTGCAACTAATGTATTGCACGCGAAAATCCAGCAACGCATTTTGCGCCCGGGATGTATTGCACGCCCCAAACGTGTTGCAGCCCCACAAATCTAATGCACCAGATCTATTGCACTACCCCCTTGTCGCTGGAGCCCCTTTTGGGTCAACCCGATCAACGTGGCCAAGATCGCCCCAGAGAGCCCAAAGAGGGGCCCAGAACAGACTGCCGCCGAGGCTCCCAAGAGCGCTCCCACGAGCCGAGAGCATCCCAAAGAGAGCCCAAGAGGCTAGTTTTCGGGCTCCGAGTGAGAAAATCTGATTTAGGACCTCCCTTGTTGGATCGATGGCCCCCAAGATGGCTCCGCCATGAGAAACTACAGAAGACCCCACACCCAATGAGGAGCAGGAGGCGGACCAGGAGGTTTTGATGCTATTGCAACTGTGCTGTCAGCATGCTTCGACCCTGGGCGCCACCGCCACGCTCGTCACGGCGCTCTTCGTGGCGCTCATCACGGCGCTCGTCTCGGCGGTCGTCACGGCGCGTGTCCCACTGGCTGCGCCTCTGCCCTCCGCCTGGAGAGCTTGCGCGGCCACCGGCGCCAGGAGAACCCTCGTCCCACTGGCTCCTGGCGGGAAGCCAGCTTACGCAGAAGGCATCTGGGAAAATCAAAAAGTGCCAATACCGCTACTCCCCGGACCTCTCCTGGGGTGCATTCTGACAAGAATTTCGAAGCGAATCCAGCGGTGGGGACAAAGGCCTCCCCCGAGGCTCCAAAAGGCGAAACCGAGGCCAGGGCAACGGCACCGGCACATGTTCCTCCCCCGCGCACATACCCGAGCACATACGCCAACACCGTGCCTGGTCAGGTACATCCAGGACCTCAGGATGGTGCACGCGCCCCGACGCCCTCTCTCGGCCCTCGGCCCTGGGAGGGTCTTGCCCTCCTGGGGCTCGGGATGCCCCTGGCCAGGCACAGTAGTGGCTACAGGCAAGAGAGCCCAGGATCGAATCGAGAAGTCGGCGCGGCAATCGAAATGACTCGGATCGGCGGAAATCGGCAGCCGAGTCGGGGAAAGTCGAATCGGCCAAAGTCGGCAGGCTACTAGACCTCCATTGAGAAATCTGAGCCCACATCGGAATCCGAAGACGAATGGAATCGAAATCGGAAGCCATCGAAATCGAATCGAATCGAATCGGAAGAGTCGAAACGAGCCCTGTCCTGCCCATCTTCCTCCTACACTCGGGCACACGCTAGACTGGATTAGGAAGCCGTGGACCTGGCGCGTTGGCGCCAGATCAATGAATCGGGGAGGGTACCCCGGAGACACGAGGCCAGTGCCGCCTGATTTGGTGGCGGAGCGCGCCGATTCTGTACGAGAACGGGGCCGGTCGCTGGTCCATGCGTCGCTCATCCATGTTTGCGTTTCACTGGTACACGTGTTCATGGTCCCCTTACTCCTCCTCCCCCTCGGCCCCTTCCACACCACTTCCCCATCCGACCCCAGTGAATCATGCGTGCATTACAACTGTCTTCAGCAGCCAGCAGCTCTTCTCTGTCACGTGACTACCCCGAGGGGAGGCACTCTCATAGCCAGACCCAGCCATATACTTGAGTAGTGCGCAGCGCTATTCGAACGGCCCTGGGCAACGCCGACAGCCTCGCCTGGAAAGAGGACCGGACGCAGAGAGAGAAACTACTGGTTCAGCCGACATGCCATTGCCCTAGATCTTTGACTGAGATACTCCTCCCTACAGTGGCCATCCTACGCTGATATATCATATGCTTGCATGGACCCTGATTGCCAGGAGCCCATCACCTACTGACGCGTGGCGGATTCATAGCTCTGGAGTTGTTTCTGCATTGATGACATGGCGCTACCATGTGTTCGATGAGCGCTACCATGTGTTCGATGAGGAGGTTACTTGCCAGAACCATGCGGGACTTGATCAGAAAGCAGATAACACGAGAATCATGATAACACAAAGCTCGATCAACGCAAAAAGCAACGAAACGTTTCTGCGGGACCAAATCTCGCCGGTAGGCGAAAACGGACTGCATGGGTCATGGTCGCGCTGAATGCCGTACCGCAGAACACACTACCGGGCATAAAGAAGACAAACGCGAGAAGAGAGCCGTAGGTCCGCTAAAGATGACGTCTCTGGTTTTGTGAAGCAGGCCCCTCGGCGGATCTCACAAACAAGAAAGCAAACATTCAGACACACGTCCTACACCGTTCGTGGTAGAACACGTTATTTCATATAGCTCTTCGTAGGGCACTCCCCCTGCTTGTATTCGCGCGTGTCCCCTAGCTCCGAAGGCGACCCAAGACCGGCCCAGGAGAGTCCCAAAACGGTCTCGAGATCCGACGAAGTGGCCTCCAGATTGGCCTACGAAAACCCCAGGACCCGCAAGAGGAGCACAGGCGTGCTTCCAGAAGCCCTCAGGGCGGCCCTAAGAAGCCCCTAACAGGCCCCGAAGAGGCCCCGAAGAGGCCTGCAACCAGTTTCTCACGATGCCACCCGACAGGGAATACGTTGTGGCCTTCCGCCGTCACCATTGCCCTCGACCCACAAACCCAGCACGGCGGCTGGCTGAGCCGAAGGTCGCTGGCCCACCACATGCTCACTGATTATTGCACCTCTCAGCCTTGTCGCCCCTGGACTCACAGAGCATGCGTTTCCCAGCGCACGGGCCCTCAGGAGCCCAGCATTCTGATACGCACCTGGCGGCGTCACGCCTTCACCTGTTCTCACACCTTTCGCTCGCGCGCCACCGAAGCGCGCAACTGGCCAGCACCCACTGCAAGCTGCACGAGGGAGAAAGGACAGCCCGACCCGTGAGGTGGAAAAGGGGCGCAGGCCCACCCGGCCGCAGAGGGCGAAGAACGAACAGAATGCAGAGCCCAACGTACTCTCGCGAGCAGCCCGCTTCCACAGGCGGTGCCCCCCCCGCCGGCTGGCTCCTGCGGCGATCGCCTGCGTCCTGGCCGTTCCCAGTGGCAGGGCCACCGGCGTAGCCGCCGCCAGGCCCCCCCACGCCCCACGAGGTCTTCCGCCCGAAGGGCGCCCCGATGGGGTTCCTGCGGAGAGGCCGGCTTCAAGGAACTGGGGGGGGGAGGGGGGCGGGGAGGACAGAGAAGGGTTTCGGGGGGGCAGGGGGAGGGGGGGAGGTGAAGGGGAAAGGGGCGAGGGGCTGGGGACGTCGACTGGCTCAACGAAGTGAGAGGGGCAGAAGGGAAGACCGATGAGAGGGCAGAATAAGATGCGGAAAGGCCGTCGGCAAAAGCACCGCACCTCTATGAAAAAAGGGAGCCGCAGCTGCGCTGCAGGAACGGAGAGGAAGCGGACGAGGAGTGGGCGATGCGCAATTACACACAAGACAAGTCACACACACAGAAGTCGTCCGCGGATGTTGCGGGCGCCCTCGCTTCCCGCGGCGTGCCCATTATATTCGAATGCTGTCCGCATCGCACAAGATGTCCTACATTAGGGGAGGGTCCGATGATGTGGCGATTCTACTGTGCAGGACTCTTTGGCGCTTCTTAAGCATATTAGAGAATGGTGTCGACACCCCTCGATGCAACACGTCACTGTTGCGAACACGAGAAATCCGCCGATCCAGCGTGTGAGTTTCAAAATGCTCGAGCTAAAAGCTCAGGCTTCAACCTAGAGCAAGAGCTTCAGCTCAGCTGGGGGGGTGTTCGGGGGGCTCTGCCGGGGAAGGGGTATTGAGCGGCGGGGGTGCGCCAGTTCTCCGGTTCCCGGGAGTGCGGGGCGCCAGTTCTCCGGTTCCGGAGGTGGGAAGGGGGAGGGCGCCAATTTTCGGGTTCCAAAAGGGGGGGTCCACTTTTCCGGTTCCGAATGAAGGGGGATAGGGGGGTGCGCCAGTTCTTCTCCACCCCCCCCCAGGAACCCCAAACCGCCCCAACACGGGCCAAAAGAGACCCAGGACGCCAAGAGAAGGCAGTCTGGGAGGACCCCAAGACGGCTCAAGAGCGCTCCAGGAAGCCCAAGATGGCCTGAGGACAATCCAAGAAGCCCCCAAAACGACTCCAGAGGGCCTCAAGAGGACCTCCAAGAAAGCTTCAGGAAGGTAAAATCGCGAACATCCTTTCGGTTTACCTTTTAAAATTAACGCCTTTTCGGCTTTCATAGCGCCGACGGCGGTCCAAGCGGCCCCCAAGATCGTCGCAAGACATCCTAAGAGGCCCCGAGGAGGCACCAGGACAGCCCAAGACGGCCCTAAGATAGCCCAGGGAGCTCCCAAGACGACCCCGAAAGGCCCCCCGTGACCTTAAGAGGACGAACCCGAACTGACCCTTCCAGTCCCCCAACCCAAGAGATCCCCTAGAGGCCCCCCTCAACCCCAAAGGGATCTCCAGGAGGCCCCCAAGAAAACCCCAAAACGCCCCCGAAAGGCCCCGAAGGCCCCCCAGAAGCCCCCCAAGAGCCCAGAGGCCCCAAGAGGCGCTCACTCGCGTGCTGCCTGGCAAGACGTGCACGGCATGACGTGCCCGCCACCGAACGGCACGCTGATCGCGTCGCCGTGCTCATCGGGCGCGGCATGGCCAGCGCGAGCAGCAGGGTCAGCGCCGTCCTCGCCCTCGCTGCCGCCCACGCCACTAGCCTCATCATCGCTACTTGGTGACGAGGACGAGCTGGACGACGACGATGCTGAGCTCGACGAGGATGAGGACCCCTCCCCGCCCTCATTGCCCTCGCCTTCGCCCTCGCCGTCGCCGCCGCCCTCTGCACCAGACTCGCCGCCGTCGTCGACGGCGGCCAGGGCGCCCCAGCTGCCGCGCGGCTCTGCCGCAGCAGGCGGCACCCAGATTAGCCGCGGCAAGCCGTCGCCCAATAACATCGCATCCAGCCGCCGCGGGCGCACAGCATCGAAGACACCGTGCCTGTCCTTCGCAACCCAAAAACACGCGCGCCATGTCAGCCCGCACGTCAATGCCATCGGAGTAGGCGTACTCAAGCATGACCTCATCCGCGAAGGCAGCCCGCCCATCGCGAACATCCAGCGAGAAGCCAGCTCCTGCCACCATCACGCTGAAATCAAGGCGCCACGGTCGCTGGTAAACGTCGCCGATCAAGAGCCACCTTAGCTGGTGCGAGCCTGCGTCGCAGCGTTCATGTCATGGCCTTCCAGCGCCCGCGGGGGGGTCGCGCCCTGTCAGGGGGGCGACAACCCGAGCAGCCAGAAAACTGGACCGCCCAGGGCCAGCAGGGCACGCGGCCTTGGTGGCGGAGACGAGGTTGCTGATGCACCTGGCAATATTGCGGCCACTCCCCCTGTAGATTCACGCGCCAGCCTCATGGCACTTGCGCTTTGTCAGCGGCGGCCCCTTGCCCCATTTAACGGTGCGGACAAGCAAGTTGGCCGCGCGCCAGGCTTCGGAGGCTGCTATGGATAACGTCTGCACTGGGCGCACGGTTGGGTCCAATGAGGCATGGCGTTGGGCCACGCTCGCCAAGTCAGGCGGTGACCATGGAACCCTCCGGCACAACGGTTCTGGATGTGGGTCCGACCAACTTCGCTGTAACATGTCAGCGTCCATCACGGGCGTGCATCTCCCTAAATACTCCTGCAGCCCACCTGCGCTCAGCTGGCACGCATCGAACCTGCGGCGCTCCCTATCACAAGCCCGACTCTGCGACGTGGATGCGGCTCGCCACACCTTCTTGCAATGGTGCAAGCCGTCGATTGGAACGCACTCTGCGGCGTTGCCCAAGTCACCGCTGCATGCAACTTCGCTGGGTACTCTGCTGGCGATCACTTGGAAAGGGTTGCCCACCGTGTCTCCGAAGCGCTGCGCGTCGAAATCTACGCGGTCGGCAAGCTGAGCCAACGCAGCGCCTCGAGCGCGGCCGGCGACAGGCGCGCCGCCGTCGTCTCTGATAACTGCAGTCTCCAGCGCATTCATGTCATCAGCGCGCTTCTTCAAGACGCGCTTGCGAGGACCTGACCGCGATTGGTAGGCCTCTGGGCACTCACAGAAAGACGTGCATGCACGGGCCCGCAACTGGCCACTACAAAACAGGGACCACGCACTGTGGAGACGCCTCTTGCGCGTCGCCCCTGGCCTCGCAAAAGCAGCAGGGGCCGCGTCGCCGCAGTGTTCGACATCAACCCGCTGCCCCGGCATCCTCCGCATCTCACAATGCAGCTTGCCAGCGTTCAACCGCCCGACGCTCACCCGCTTGGACTGCGCGCTCAAACCGACGAGCCGCCGCCGCAACGAACCGCGCCTAGCTTCAATCTGCACCGCCCCCCCCTCGCATACGCAGCAGAAGCTCGCAAATGGGCAATCAAATCGGTCGACAGCGGGCCCCCGCCGCACGCCAACAACACAGCATTCGACCACTCGTCCCGCAGGCACGGGCGGCCCTTCAGAATTCCGGCGGCAACTCTCTTGCGCTCGCAGCCGAGCAGGCCAAACAATTTGAATGGGCAAAGCCTACGAGGCTATCGACCCCCCCCCGCCCCCTGGGCGCGGCGGGCGTCGGCGACACGGGCGGGGGGCGATGGCAATTCTGCCGGCCCCCGTGGGCCCTAGGCGGATCAACGTGATATCTGCGCCTCTGGCTTTCTATTCGACTGGAGGCCCGACCTCCCATCTAACCTACCCCACGGCTGGGAGAAGGCAAAAGGGTGGAAAGCGGGCGGGGGGGAAGGGAGGAGCGCCCGCCGTCGTCGGTCGGCCCCTCGCCAAACAAATCCCCCCCTCCTCTTCAGCGGCCACGTCAGCTACCGCAAGACTCGTCGATGGACTGGGGCTGGCAGGCGCGCGAAGCGTCAAGACATTTAGCTCGCGAACCTGGAAACGACTTGGGGCGAGACGGGACGCGCCGGCCCGGCGACTGGCGGCGGGGGAGGGGGGGCCAGGGCGAAGGGGTCGCGGGCTGGGGGGGGGGGCGGGGTGGACGGAAGAAAAGGAGTGAATCGCGGCGGGTCGCGACTCTCTGCGCTCGTCGCATTGGCTCGACCCCCTCTCTCTGACGCCCACCCCCCCCGCAAACGCAAGCCGCGCCCAGAGCCCGCCCCGATCCTCATGGCGGCGAGGCGAACTGCGAGGAGGGGTCCGGTAGCCCTGAACATGCGCCTCTCCATCAACGCGTTGACCCTGCAGCGAGACTCCACAGCAATCCGACCAACACTCTGGGCGTGAGTGCGCGAGTGGTTGGGGTCGCCCGCTCTGTTCAACCCTGAATTCCCCCCTTCGGTGATGGGGCCTGCCGCAACCCCCACCCCCTTCCCCCCCGGGCCTGGGACCCCCCCCTCGCGATGAGTTAGAGCGCCCTTCGGGGCCCAGGATGGCGCCAAGGCCCTGGGGGAGCGAAGGATGGCCTCCACGGTCGTCCAAGATAGCCCTCGTTAGCTCAAGATCGCCCCCGACATGCCTGCAGGAGGCTCCAAGGCCGCCCCATGACGGCCCCAAGAGGCAACGGAGCCCCCCAAGAACACCCCCGAAGGGCCAAACCCCCGCCCCAGAACCGCGCGAAAATCAATGCGCTGCTTTGCGGTCTAGCCCGTTCGCCCCCAACGTGCTCCGGGCGCCTCCAGCAAGGCCCAAGATGGCAACAAATAGCACCCAGGCGAGCCCGAGAGGCCCGAGGCGGCCCAAAGGGCGCCCAAGGGCGCCCCAAGGGTTGGCCCAAGAAGGCATCAAGATGTGATGCTTCGGGCCTGGGGGCGCCGGGGAGGATAAAGACACGCGCAAATGCTCGCCGCGCATTGCCCGATGCGCCTCCCAGACACCACCAGGGGGCGCCCCAGATCCCCCCCCCCCCCCCCCCCCAGAATGCCCCAAGGCGACCCCGACATCGCCCCGCGAGGCCCCCAAGCGAGCCCCGAGAGCACCAACGGGGCCACAAAAAGCCCAATTCCTGTAACGCCCGAGAGGAAAATCCACATATCATAAATAGGAGCTGGGGTGAAAAGGATGAGATATGCGAGACCAGGAGGCGGCGCGCACGAATCCCACGACCGCGGGCGTTCGTCGCAGAGGCCGCCGTTGCGGGACGGGCTGGCGAGGGCAAAAAAAAAAAAACGCCAGCGCAACCAAGAGACGGC